GGCCTGGAGGAATCTTAGACTAATCTGCTCCAGCTTCACAGAGGGGAAGTACTGGCCAAGGTGTGATGGCTGGTGGCTGGAGCTCCTGTCTCCCAAGGCTCCCCGTTGCCTACCTGCTTTTTATGCGGGCTAATATTAGGTTAAGCATATTGTGCACATAATTACAAAGTCTTTTAGTATCTGGTTTAATTGCAGTTTTAAGGATTGCCTATGCATTTTCCCTTTCCTTCCATCTATTCATATCCTTTCCAATCTTCATGACCTCACATTCTCTGAGAGACTTTTCCTAAATTTGATCACCCCCAGCCCAATTTCTTAAGCACTAACACATATGAGAGAGGATATAGATGGTGGGAAAATTATGGACTTTAGAGTCAGAGAATTCTAAGATCGTATGCTAGTTCTGATAGTGGCTGTTTGACTTTGGGTAGATTACTTAACATCCATTTCTTCAACTGTAAAATGAGGTAATAATACTTATTCTGATTCAGATGCATGGTAGGTACTCAACAAAATAGATGTGGGTGCTTAATAAATGGCATTCATTCACTTTCTAATCATTTATTTATTCACAAAAACAAACCTTGACTGAAAGTCTACAACGTGCCTGAGAAGAATACAAGACCTCTGCCCCTGAGGAGCTCTTAGTTTAGCATAGTGGTGTATGGGTGAATCTTCTGGGGAGAATGTTCATGACTTTGAGCAGATTCTCAGTGTCTGTATCACCCCAAACGCTAAGGACTTCTGCTGGCCATCTCCACCTGAATTTCCTGCCAGAGGTGCTTAGTATTCGTATCATGTATTTTGTCTTAAATCATATAATGCTTGTGGTATATTGCTTAGCTGTTTATTTTTATTTTATTTTATTTTTTAAGGCTTATTTATTTTTGAGAGAGAGAGTGCAAGAGGGGGAGGGGCAGAGAGAGAGAGGGAGACAGGATCCCAGGTAGGCTCTGCACTGACTGCAGCCAGCTGGATGCCAGGCTCAAAGTCATGAACCATGAGATCCTGACCTGAGCCAAAGTCAGACAGAAGCTCAACCAACCAAGCCACCCAGGTGCCCACTTAGCTGTTTAATATAGATGTATGTCTGTATCTCCAGCCATTCAAACTCCTACAGGACAGGGATTGTGCTTACGCTTTTTTAGCAGCTCTGTTGAGATACAATTCATATACCATACAATTCACCCATTTAAAGTGTACAATTCAATGACTTAATATATTCAGAGTATGGGGTGCCTGGCTGGCTCATCCAGTAGAGTATGGAAGAGCATGTGTTCAAGCCCTACATTGGGCTTAGAGATTACTTTAAAACACACACACACACACACACACACACACACACACACACAGTGTGCATCCTTCACTACAATCTATTTTAGAACATTTTGGTCACCCCAAAAAGAAACCCCATATCCCTTAGGTGTCATCCCCACCATCTCAGACTCTAGCTGTAGGCAACCACTAATCTACTTTCTTTCTCAATAGGTTTGCCTGTTTTGGGTATTTCATATAAATGGAGTCATACAATATCTGGCTCTTTGTGACTGGCTTCTTTCACTTAGTGTAATATTTTCAAAGTCTGTCTATGTTGTTACATTTTCTTTTTATATTCCCTTTAATACTTAGCACAGTAGTTGGCATATAACAGCCTTTTAAAAAATAAAATTTATTTTATTATATTAAAAAAACTTTTTTTGTTGTTTATTTTGAGAGAGAGAGTGTGTGTGTAAGCAGGGGAGGGGCAGAGAGAGAGGGAGAGAGAGAATCCCAAGCAGGCTCTGTGCTGTCAGCACAAAGCTTGATACCGGGCTCGATCTCACGAGTCATGAGATCATGACCTGAGCTAAGATCAAGAGTCGGAAGCTTAACCAACTGAGCCATCCAGACCCCAAAATAAAATTTATTTTATTTTAGTTTTAGAATTATTTTATTTTAGTTTTAGAATTACAGAAAAGTTGCAACGATAGTACAGAGAATTTCCACATACCACAATCCAGTTTTGACTATTATTATCTTATACTTTTCATAAATTAATCAACTGATATTGATATATTATTAACTAAAGTCCATATTTTTTCCTATTTCTTTCATTTTTTTTTAAATCTAATGTCATTTTTCTGTTCCAGGATTCCATCCAGGATATTATATTACCTTTAGTCATTACATTTAGTCATCATGTCTCCTTAGGCTTCTCTTATCTATGACAGTTTCTCAGACTTTCTTTGTGTAATAGGTTTTTAACATGTACATGTTGAAGGGATTTAAATTGTTACCCGTAGAGGACAGGACTGTCTCTTTACATTAGAGAGTCTTAGGACATTTAGTATTTATTATCTAGTTACTTTATAAAAAGACCTCTATGTTAAACACTCCCGTAGTAAAGTTATACCACTGATCTTTCAAATGGATGCCAGTAGGGCAGAGTGAGCTTGAAATAACTGGGGAGGGTGGAAACTCAGGGAAGTTGCCACTGCTACTGTCTCCTGTCATTGTTTTGTTGATATTGGCATTTATTATTATTATTATTATTATTATTATTATTATTATTATTGAGACTATGCTATACCAGAGGCATAGCCTCTGGAGTAAAACAGTAAAACAGTGAGACAGCCTCAGCTGTCTCACCTGTAAAATTGCCTTGCAGTGTGTTGAAAATTAAGGAAGAATTAAGAAAGTCCCTTGCATGGTACCTGTGCTTGGCAGATGCATAGTTGTTGATTGATGTTAGAAAAAAAATAGATTAAATTGGAAAGGGAAAATAAGGTTAAAAAAAAAAAAAAAGAGCAGCATGGAAAGAGAACTTCTGGGTTTTTTGTTTTGTTTTGTTTTGTTTTGTTTTAGCATTTCCTATAGTGGGTGGAATAAGAAAGAAGATGACGTTGGTTTGCCTACATATTTGTTGTCAACTGAAGGACATCATCTTTGCTAGACAAGAGCCTTTGGGTTCTTTTTGGTTTGTGTGCTTTGAGTTTCTAGCCTCTTTTTGAAGAAGTGCTTGGAAGGCTATGAATGGTTAAGGTTGTCCTAACATGGCTATTTTGCTGTAGGTGCTGTGTCCAAGGAATGATACCATTTTTAAGCAAGTCTTTTCTCTCTTAAGGTAAGGATATTAATAACAGTGGTTAAATATAGCCAATATTTGTACTCGCCTAGGGTTCACCCATCATTTGTCTTTCATCATCTCCACTTGTGTGTCTGCTAAACATCTCAAGTATTAACTCTCCTGCCATCTTTCTCTTTCCCCATTCTCAGTAAATGACAACTCCATTCATGTAGTTGCCCAGGCCAAAGTTCTTGCAGTCAGTCTTGACACTGTTATTTTTCTCACTGTACATCCAATTCTTTAACAAATCCTCTCAGCTCTACTTATGAAATACATACAGAATCAGACCATTTCTCACCTCCAGTTTCAGGTCTCATGCTTTCTGTTTTGCTAAACTACTAAGGACCAGTTCCTTCTAATCTTCTTTATTACCGTCATCCTGCGTCCTAACTGTTCCTCCTCCTTTTTGATTTTAGCATGAAGGATAGAAGACAAAACTTAGTTTGTATTTGACAAAACTTAGTTTTGTCTTCTAATCGGAGTGGTCCATTTATTTATTAATGTTTTTTATTTATTTTGATAGAGGAAGAAAGAGAGAGAGAGAGAGAGAGAGAGAGAGAGAGAATCCCAAGCAAGCTCTGAGCTGTCAGTGCAGAACCCGATGTGGGGCTTGAACTTATGACCAGTGAAATCATGACCTGAGCCAAACTTGAATCGGAGGCTTAACCAGCTGAGCCACCCAGGTGCCCCCAGAGTGGTTCTTTTTAAAATCAAGTTTCTCTCTCAGAACTCTCCGACGGTATCCCATCTTACTCAAAATAAAATCTATACTCCACCATATCCTGCAAGGCTTTACATAATCTGTTCCCTCATCCGCATACTACTACTTACTCAGTTTTAGCCACACTGGTGGCTCCCTTTCTAGTCCTTGATGATCTAAGCACTCTCCTACCCCAGGATCTTTGCCCATTCTTCCCTTAGATATCCATATGGCTTGACCCCCTTACCTTATTCAGGTTTGTGCCCAGATGTCATCTTATCAGAGAGGTCTACAATGACTACCCTATGTAAAATAGCTCCCTCCACCCCAATCAGACTTTATTTCCTTACCTTGCTTTGTTTTTCGTCATTGCAGTTATCACCACCTGACACATTTTATATATATGTATGTGTACAGATACCAGATATTTAAATTGTCTTCCCTATCTGTCCCCTAGAATATAAGCATCATGTAGATAAGGATTTTGTTAGTGTTGTTTCCTGCTGTATCCTTAGAGCCTAGAATGGTGTCTTGCACATAGTAGGCATTTAATAAATATTTGTTTAATGAACGAATAGATCCTTATAGTGATCTCGTGAAACAGGTCATATTATCTTAATTTTATACATAAATAACTTAGGTACAGAGAGGTAAATTAATTGCTCTAAGATGACATAGCTAATATGTTGTTGGAGTTAGGATTCAAACCCAAGTTCTTTTTTCACTGCCTTGCATATATAGTTTGCTACCTCCCATCTTCTCTAGATGATAATGAATGGCATTTGGTGGTTTATTTCTCTATTCAGTAGAGATATTCACTGAGTGTTTTATGTGTGGCGGCCATATAATATAAAACAATGAATTGTATATCTCCCTGGACCACATGACAGTCATGAGCCTGAATGATTTCTTTAATCCTTTACATTTATTGAGGCCTCTCTCCTATTATTCCCTTTCCATCTTAATCTATTTTTCCATCATTAATCAGTCAACTCTTCAATAAGTAGTTACTATAGAACCATTTTACATGTTCTCTCTAATCTTTACAAAAACATGACAGGACAAATATAAATATTGTCATTTTACAAAAGAGGAAACTGGCTCAGAGAGTTTAAGAGATTTTCAATCTCATGGGATTATACTATTATTATCTGCATTTTAAAGAGGAGATAACTGAGTTACAGAGATCTAAAAGAACTTGTTGAAGGTCACAGTTTGAACATGGTAGAGTCAGCATTTAATCACAGATCTGCTTGTCTCCCAACTTGTTCCACAATTTAGTTTCAAAATTTCGCAGGATGCTGAACCTGAAACCTAGTGAGCTGACAGAGCCGTATTATTCTCTTCCATGTTCTTTGGTTTCTGTATTCAGTCTGTAGTCATTGCTGTCCTTTCCTCTCCTCTCCCTGGGCATGTTCTAATAATGCAAGACTACCACCTCACTAGTTCTTTTGCCTCAGTCTCACCTCTTCCCATTCATTGCTCACCTGCTGCCAAGGTTAACTTTCCAAAGCTTAAACTTGATTGTGTCACTCCTGTGCTTAAACTCGGTGAGGAGCTTCCCACTGCCTATACAGAGTAAAGACCAAACTCCTTATCACAGCGTACGAGGTTCTTCCTCACCTGGCCCAGGAGAACCTCTTTCACCAGCTCCCCTTTTCCCTGCTGCTTAAGTTCTACCCATATCCAGCTGCTTGCTGTTCCCCAAACATACTACTTTCATACCTTTGCCTGGAATGCTTTTCCTTAAGGCTAAATAGTTGAGAACAGTTCTTCATTTTTAAAACTCCAGTCAAACAGTTTTACCCCTCTAGCAGAAATGACCACATTTTCCTTCATGTTCCACCAAATCTTGTATAAGTTTTCATTCTGGATCAGCAATGTATTGTGGCTCACATTTATTTACATGTCTCTCTCCCAACTAGACTATAGAGAGAGACATTTTACTTATTTTTATATCCTCAGGATGTCTGGCACACAATAGGCACTTAATAATGTTTGTGGAAAGACGGGAAGGAGGGAATAAGGGAATTTCTAGCATTGACTTATCCTTAATGAGAGGCATACACGTTTTGGTAATGGTATAGATTAAATGTGGGTATCTAATTTTATTCAGCATACTCTTTCCCTCTTTTTAGATTCAGAACTTCAGGAGAAAATCCCATCTGTTCTGCAGGTATGTGGTTATTTCCTGATATAGTCTGCCTGCATTAAGTGACCCTCTAATGCTCTGTAATAATTTTGTCTAGAAATATTCCTAACATATCTTTGAGAAGAGTGGCTGGGACCACATTCCACCCCTCACGTGGAATTGGGCAATGGGCAAGAATCTAAAGTAGTGGTTAAGAGCAAGAGCTCTATGGGAAGTTTGGATTCCAGCTCTACCGCATACTTACTCTGTGACCTTTGGCTACCTCGCCATAGCTTGCTTTCCTCGCTTAAAACAATGAGGATAATTATAGTACAAGCTACAGTGAATTATTTGAAGATTCAATGAGATAAAATACCTAAAATTAATTATTGTAATTGTAATTCCTACTATTTCAGACCTGTATTTCATGTCTATCATCTACCAGGCAAGGGCTTTTCTTACAGTATTTTGTCCAAAATAAATGTCCATTCAATCTGATTAACTCAATAAATTTCAATATGCTTCAACCCAATTACTTTCCCTTTTTACTTTGTCTATTATGTGAGAAGTTTCAAAGTAGTTGTTTGATTTTAATGACATCTGTCATCTGCCTAAAGAGTCAGAGGCAAAGGAAAGGGAGAAAAGAAGGGAACTAACGTTTACTGAGCGCCTCACATGTGTCAGGCAGTACATGAAGAGGTTTTACATCTATTATTTTTTTCAGAAGATGGCAGCAGTTATGTAGAGCATCACCATTTCTACCAGCCCCACTGCCCAGCATCTCAAAATATGGGCTTATTTTTATTTATTCATTCTCTCAACAAATATTTATTGTACCAAGATGTGTTTCAGGTGCTGGGATACAACGTTGAGAGGATACAGTCCTTGCCATTTGGAAAGCTTACAGTCTTGAAAGAATTTTTTCCCTAAGAACATACAGTGAACACTTTTCTACCCACCAATTATTTATTTTTTTAAATTATTATTCATTTTTTTGAAGAGAGACAGTGTGAGCAGGAGAGGGGCAGAGAGAGGGGAGACACAGAATCCGAAGCAGGCTCCAGGCTCTGAGCTGTTAGCACAGAGTCCAACGTGGGGCTCAAACCCATGAACAGTGAGATCATGACCTGAGCCGAAGTTGGACACTTAACCAACTGAGCCACCCAGGTGCCTCTCTACCCATCATTTAGAATAATTTGTTGTTGGGGCGCCTGGGTGGCGCAGTCGGTTAAGCGTCCGACTTCAGCCAGGTCACGATCTCGCGGTCCGTGAGTTCGAGCCCCGCGTCAGGCTCTGGGCTGATGGCTCAGAGCCCGGAGCCTGTTTCCGATTCTGTGTCTCCCTCTCTCTCTGCCCCTCCCCCGTTCATGCTCTGTCTCTCTCTGTCCCAAAAATAAATAAATGTTGAAAAAAAAAATTTAGAATAATTTGTTGTTAACATTTTGCTTTCTCTATCAGGCATCAAGACACTCTTAAACAGCTCAGCATTTCTAGAACTAAGGACAGTCTCTACATTCTGTTAAAGAACTGCAATACTATCATCTCACTCAGGAAAATTAATAGTAATGCTCCCATATCATCTAATACTCTATCCATTTCCGTAATTGCCTGCAAAATGTCTTTTCTGGGCATTGTTTATAACCAAAAGCCTGTGAAATTTCCCACTTTGTTTTTTTTTTTTTTTTTAATTTTTTTTTTTCAACGTTTATTTATTTTTGGGACAGAGAGAGACAGAGCATGAACGGGGGAGGGGCAGAGAGAGAGGGAGACACAGAATCGGAAACAGGCTCCGGGCTCTGAGCCATCAGCCCAGAGCCTGACGCGGTGCTTGAACTCACGGGCCGCGAGATCGTGACCTGGCTGAAGTCGGACGCTTAACCGACTGCGCCACCCAGGCGCCCCTGAAATTTCCCACTTTGTATTTCACTGTTATGTCACTTTTAATCTAGAGCAGTTCTACCACTTTTTTTTATTTCTCTCTAATAGTAACATTAAAAAAATAATTTATTTTCAAGTTAGCTAACATACAGTGTATACAGTGTGCTTTTGGCTACGGGAGTAGAGTCCCCTGATTCATCACTTACATAACAGTAACTTTTTGACTAGGTCAGACCATCTGTCTTATAGAATGTCCTCCCTTCTTGATTTGTCTGATTGTTTCCTACTTGTGTTGTAGAACATGTTCTGTCTCCTTCCTACAACCTGGAAGTTAGCTCTAAAAGCTTGACAAGATTTAAATTAAACCTTAAATGGTTTAATTTAAATTTCATAACAGATGCCCTGAACTTCATTTTTAAAAAAATGTTTATTTATTTTTGAGAGAGAGTACAAATGGGGGAGGGGTAGAGAGAGAAGAAGACAGAATATCTGAAGCAGGTTCCTTGCTGACAGCAGAGAGATGGATGCAGGACTAGAACTCACGAACCAACCATGAGATCATGACCTGAGCCCAAGTCGGACGCTTAACCAACTGAGCCACCCAGGTGCCCCGATTCAGGTGCCCTGAACTTCATATGGCATCCTATCAGGAGATTAAAAAAAAATAACTAAGAATACCTAATTATAAAATTGAAAGACTTGCATTTAAAGAATATGGGAAATAAACATACATATACACAAGAAGAAGCTGAAGTAGACAGAAAATAAAAATAATACTATTCAGAAATTATTGTTTAACATTTTGTTGTGTATCCTAACAGGTCTTTTTCTAGGCATTTATATCTCTTTCTCCATAGATAGATAAATACATACATACATAAGTAGGTGGATAGAGAGATGGATTTTGTTTGTTTTGCAGTGATGGGAACAAATGATGTAATGTTTTATAATCTTTTTTTTTTCTTAATCCATAGTGAATATGTCTCTACTACCTTGAAGATATAAGTATAGTTATTTTGAAAATTTTTTTTTTAACGTTTATTTATTTTTGAGACAGAGAGAGACAGAGCATGAACGGGGGAGGGTCAGAGAGAGGGAGACACAGAATCTGAAACAGGCTCCAGGCTCTGAGCTGTCAGCACAGAGCCCGACGCGGGGCTTGAACTCACGGACCGCGAGATCATGACCTGAGCTGAAGTCAGCCGCTTAACCGACCGAGCCACCCAGGCGCCCCTAGTTATTTTGAATGTACTGCCTTATATTGGACAGTTCGAAGGGGAAGATTTTGTTTTTTAATTTTTTTTAACGTTTATTTATTTTTGAGAGAGAGACAGATCGTGAGTGGGGCACGGGCAGAGAGAGGAGTAGGCCCAGAATCCGAAGCAGGCTCCAGGCTCTAAGCTGTCAACACAAAGCCTGGAGGCAGGGCCTGAACCCACAAGCAGCAAGATCATGACCTGAGCCAAAGTCAGGATGCTCAACTGACTGAGCTACCCAGGTACCTGAAGGGAAGATTTTGAGTCTGGCTTTGAACATGTTGAATTGGAGTGTCTATGGGGAGGATAGTAGCCCATTGGATACATTGATACTGAATTCAAATTATAGGTCTGGATTGAAACTGTACATTTGGAAACCATCATATTGTCAATGTTAATTGAAGTCATGACAGTGAATGGAATCATGTGAGGAGAACAAGTGGAGAAAAGGCCCAAGAATCAGGCCCTTAGGAACTCCAACATTTAAAAACTGGGTAGAGAGTGAAAGAGATGGCTAATGAGGTTGAAAAAAGGAGGCCAAACTGGTAGGAGAAAACCAGCATAGTATAATTTCATGTCAGACACAAGGAGAATGTTTCAAGAAGGAAAGAGTGATCAACTATGTTGGAGTTAGCACTGGGTGCTGCTGAGAGATCATGAAAGATAAGACCCTAACATTCTTTGTCTTTAGCAACATGGAGGTCACTGGTGATCTTAGGAAAGCAGTGTGTTGTGTAGGTGGGGTGGGGCTAGTTGTGGAAGTCAACTGTGAGTTGACAAGTGAATAGGGGTTGGAGAGCTAGAGAAAGCTGTTACAATGTTTTTATGACCTCTGAGCAGGAGCAGAGAGAATTAGAAGGTGGAGAGGAATGTGGGGTCCAGGAAAGGTGTTGTGTTTGTTTTTTTAACGTGTTTTTTTTCTCTTTTACACTTTTTATTTTGAAGGATTAAAAAAATACGGAAGAGGGAAAAAAAAAAGATAATATATCACATAAACCCAGATTGGGCAATTACTAACATTTTGCTAGATGTTCATTTTATTTTGTTTCGTTTTGTTTTAAAAAGAGATTATGATCAAGTGCACTTATTTCCTAGCTTTGGTCTCTTCTCTTACCTGTCAATTAGAGGCAAAATTCATTTTGAACTGGTATGTGTTCTGAGTAAAGTTTTTTTTTTTTATTACAATTAAAATTATCAACTAAGAATTGTAAATGCACTTACATGGATGCATAGGATAAAAGTAAATATAAACTGTACAAAAAGGTGTATGATGAAAAGTTGAATTTTCTATTTCCCAGTCTTACTTCCCAGTGGTATCTACTGATCACAATTTCTTATATATTTTTCAAGTTGCGTTCATATACGAGCATATATATTTTATGTGTGTATAACTGTGTCTTAATGCTGGACATTTAGGTTGTTCTTAGTTTTTGCTATTTCAAAAAATGCTGCAGCAACAATCTTTATACTTCTTTGTGAACTTGTTCCTGTACATTTGTAAGATAAATTCCTGGAATTGAAATTGCTGAGTCAATGGATTGTGATTAAAATTTTTGGTAAGTATCATCAGATTGCCCTTCAGAGAAGCTGTATTAATTTACATTTCTATTCTCTGGTCAAAACTGGGTTTAAAAAAAATCTTATTTTTTTGATAGTAAAAAATTATGTCTCATAATTTACATTTCTTGAGAGAGTTTATCATCTTTCCATATTTTTATTGTCTATTTGTATTTCTTTCCTTATGAACTGCCTGTCTATATTTTTTGCCCATTTTTTTATTGGATTGTTTGCTTTTTCATTTTACATAGTTTTAATATATTAAGGAAATTAGCATTTTTCTGTCATCTCTGCTTTGCATTGCCTCTAGTTATCTGTTTCTTGACTTTTTGTGTTTTTTGTTGGAAAGAAGTTTTACGTTTTTATATACCTAAGTTTATTAATCTTTGATTTCTAGATTTTGATACTTGCTTAGAAAGATATCTGTTCCAGGATTAGTTTAATCTTCATGTTATCTTCTGGTATTTTTCCCCCTTTATATATGTAACCCATGTGGAATTAGAAGTGAGTAGGGATGCAATCCCACACCCCCCCCAAAAAAATGGGTAGTCAGTTGTTTCAACATTTATCAAAACATCCATTTATTGAAAAATCCATAGGTTGAAACTCAAATACTAAGTTTCCATATAGATCTGGGATTATTTTAACTTTGTTCCATTGATTTGTGTGTATATTTGATGCCACTACTAACCCTTCTTAATACTACTGGTTACTATAGTTTTATAGTATATTTTAGTATTTGAAAGGTACTTAAATCTGAGGATTTGGGGGGTTTTATTTTGTTTTTAAAGCTAGGATCAAATAGGGCATGTTAAGATCTATTGAAAAATATCCTGTAGGGATCCTTTTGAGTAAACATAATTTACTCAAACAGTTTTCTATTTAGAGAAATTTAAGCTGTCTCTAGGATTTTTGTTGTTGTTATTGTTCTACTACTTAATTTTATTTATTTATTTATTTATTTATTTATTTATTTATTTAT